TCCAGAAGAAAACCCATACATTTATGGTCAACTGATACTCAACAAGGATAATAAGACAGATCAATGGGGAAAGAATAGACTTTTCGACAAATAATTCTAGAAAAACTGGATATCCACAAACAAAAGAATAAACTTGAAACTCCCTGTCTCACACTTATGCAAAAATTAACTCAAAATGGATCAAAAACTTAAATGTAAGAGCCAAAACTAGAAAACTCTGAGAATACATGGATGTAAATCCTCATGACTGAAGACTAGGAGGTAGCTTCTTAGATATGACACCTAAATCACAAGCAGCCAAAGAAAAAATACACAAGTTGGACTTCATACATAAAAATTGTTGGTGCTTCCAAGGACACTACCAAGAAAGTAAAAAGACAGCTTACACAATGGCAGAAAATTTTGGAAGTCACAGATTCTCTAAGAGTCTAGTCTAACCAAAATATTGAAAAACAACAACTTTTAAAATCAACACTGAAAAGACAAAACCCAATTTAAAAATGGGCAAAGGAGTTGTATAAGGCATTCTTCAAATGGTCAGTAACAAGAACATGAGAAGGTGTTCAACACCCTTAGTCATCAGGGAAATGTAAGTCAAAACCACAATAAGTTGTCACTTCACACCCACTCCAATGGCTATAGTAAAAAAAGAAAAACAATAACAAGTGTCGTCTAGGATGTGGATAAATTAGAACCCTCCTACATTGCTGGTAGGAATATAAATTGATTTAAGCAGAGAGCCTGAGGCAGGCACTTTGGTAAACAGTCCAGCAGTTCCTCAAAAAGTTAGAGTTATCATATGACCCAGTAATTTCACTCCTAGGTATATACCTAAGAGAATTGAAAAAATATGTTCACTCAAAAATCACACACAAATATTCACAGCAACAGTATTCAGAAAAGCTGGTAAGTGGAAACAACACAAATATCTATCAACTGACGAATGGAAGTAAAATATAGTATATCCATACAGTGGAGTATTACTCAGCCATAAAAAGGAACGAAGTATTGGGGCACTCGGCTGGATCAGTTGGTAGAGCATGTGACTCTTGGTCTCAGGGTCACAAGTTAGAACCCCTATGTTGGAGGTAGTGTTTACTTAAAAAGAAAAAATCTTAAAAAAAAAAAAAAGGAATAAAGCACTGACACAATGGATGTTAACATGTACAACATAGATGAATCTTGAAAACATTATACCAAGTGAAAGAAGCAGACACAAAAGGCCCCATATTGTATGATTCCATTTCTGTAAAATGTCCAGAATAGGCAAATCTGCAGAGACAGAAAGTAGATGAGTGATTCCCAAAGGTTGTGGGGAAGAAGAGTGGGTAGTGACTGCTAATGATTATAGGATTTCTATTTGGGGCAATAAAAATGTTTTGGAATTAGATTATGGTGATGTTGCACGACCTTGCGAATATACTAAAAACCACTGAATTACATACTCTAAACGTATGAATTTCAGGGGTATCTGGCTGGCTCAGAAGGTAGAGCAGACAGTTAATCTTGGGGTTGTAAATTCAAGCCCTGTGCTGGGTGTGGAGATTACTTAAAAATAAAATCTTTACCAGGAAAAAAAAGTGTGAATTTCATGGTATGTAAATTTTATCTTAATAAATGTTTAAATGAAGTTCTTTAAATTATCTTACCTATACTATTGTAAAGCCCTAGCAAGCTCATTGTAGAAGTCAGTAAATATAAAACAGATTAGGAAGATATTTCAAGGAAAAGTTTATAGAGTTGAAGTGGCAAAATAATAGCACAACTGAGTTGACTAGGAAAGTAGAAATAAAAAATGAAGCTGAAAAAAAAATCCATGATTAATGAAAAAGTATTCTAGATCCACAAGTTTAGGTGAGAACAGAGGAAAAAGAAATTTTTATTATTATTTAGTAATTTTTCCCATATTTGATTATAACCCTGAGTCACACCACCTCAGAGACACAAGAAGGTTATAAGAATAGCATTATTATGATCCTATTTTATTTGCAGCTCAAGGAGATAGAACAAGCTGCCCAGCTTCACACAGTAACTTAATGATGAAATTAAGAAATTTCACAGAAGGCTTTTTCCTAATGTTTTACCTGCTTGCTATTTTCATGTTGCAAATATCATCTATGTCAACTTTAAAGTGACATAATAAAGCTATATTGGCATCGCTCAGTCTAAACTCATCAAGAATTACTGTTAAGTATGAAAGCCAATGTTTATTCCAGCTTGCATTCTTTTTCTCCCCAAGTTTTTATTTGAATTCCAGTTAGTTAAGAGACAGTGTTAAATTAGTTTCAGGCATAGAATTTAGTGATTCAACGCTTACATACATTACCCGGTTGCTCATCACAACAAGTGACATGCTCCCTAATCCCCACCCCCTGTTTAACCCATCACCTCCCCCTCCCTATACTTAGGAGTCTGGTTTTTTTGGTTTGCCTATCTCGTTTCCCCCCATGATCATTTATTTTGTTTCTTAAATTCCACATGAGTGAAATCTTATGGTAGTTGTTGTTCTTTGACTTATTTCTCTTAGCATAATACTCTCTAGCTCCATCCATGCCACTGTAAATGGCAAAATTTCACTCTTTTTTATGGGTGAGTAGTATTCTAGTGTGAGTGTGTGTGTGTGTGTGTGTGTGTGTGTGTATACACACTACATCTTTTCTTAAGGTTTATTTATTTGAGAGACAGAGAGCATGTGCATGCATGAGGAGGGGGAAGGGCAGAAGGAGAGAGAGAGAAAGAACCTCAAGCAGTCTCCCCACTGAGCACAGAGCCCGACGTGTGGCTTGATATCACGATCCTGAAATCATGATCTGAGCTAAAATTGAGAATCCAACATTTAACTGACTGAGCCACCCAGTCACCCCACACTACATCTTCTTTATCCATTCATCAGTGGACGGACGCTTGGGATCTTTCCATAATGTGGCTATTGTAGATAATGTTGCTATAAACACTGGGGTGCATGTATCCAAATTAATATTTTTGTATCCTCTGAGTAAATAACTAGTAATGCAATTTATTCCACCTTGCATTCTTATATGAAGCTGTTTTAAAAACTTCTGGTTAGATGAGACTATTCCACTTTCTGGTTATCTGGGAATTAAAATTTAAAATGAAATTAAAATGTTTCCTTAACTGAAATTAAAGATTAATAATGTCTACCTAAATATCCCAGCCACAATAAAATGAATGAATGAACCTATTTACCACACAATTGTGAAGAACCCAAGTTCCTTCAATATAGCCATTCTCTCATATTAAACACAAGAGGCAGAAAATAATATCATCTCGTTGGAGACTTATGGGAAGAACATTTTGCAAGAACACTTTATGCAAATACCAGGACTTGTTTTAAAAACAAGTGTCAGCCTCTTCATTAGCTCTTCTGCCTTCCTGGGGCCAGGAATCACAAGGACTATTTGTGTAATGCTTTCATATCTTCATTTTACTTAATCCTCTGTTTACAACAGCCCTTTGAGAGCAGAGGTTACGAATTATTACATTATTATCCAATTTACATTTTGGGAAGCAGAGGTTCAGCATAGGGACTTGCTCAAAGTCACAGGCTGGTCAGTGGCAGGGCTGGGATTCAATTGAGGCTAGATCTTCTATTACCAGGTCCCATCTTTTCACCGCATCCCCTACTTCAGGTAAGCTGTGTTAGAGGCAGTCTTAGGCATTCCACAAGAAGACAGAATAAAAGGAGGGAAAGGAAAAGCAGTGAGGAAATAGGGATGATGACAAGGGAAGGAGGTGTCTTATTGGGAAATTAGTCTAACCACTTTCAATTGCCCCAAATGCCCCTTAAGTGGCAACCGTGCCAAAGTTACTCTGCTCTGTATCTTACTCCCCTAGGTCTACAGCTACTGTTATTTCACTAGTTAACAATCATGTTGGAGACTTAAACGCCTAAAAGAAATGTAAAGATTTTTCTCTTCTGAGATTCTGACAGCAGAACTTGGCCCCTCCCACAAAGGTCCGTGGCCCCTAGGTCTCGGTCACAGTAAATACCTTGGGGGTCGAAAAAACCGCGAATTGTAGGGGGAACCAAGGGAAGAGGGTTTGGGTTGGGGGAGAGACTAAGGTTGAGCTAAGGCGAGGGGGAGCCTGCGGTGGAGCTATGGTTGGGGGATGTGGGTTTTGTGGCTAAACTCAACGGTGGGGTAAAAAACCAGTATCGGAGATGACTTTCAGGTCCAGGAAAGGATAAGGGAGCCGAGGGGCTAACCTGAATGAAGAAAGACCGAAGAGAAGGAGAAGCTGCGTGGTCCCCGGGGCGCGAGGATGGAGGCGAGGCCCCCCTCACACGTCTGTGATTGGATGCTCCCTTAAGTTCCGCCTCCCCAGACCCCCCTCTCCCCTCAAGCCCCGCCCACGCCACCGGGCGCGCGCCTGGGGAGCGGGGAGGGGGACAGCCCTGAGAAGGGGGGAGGGGGAGAGGAGAGGCTCGTGCACGCGCCTCACTGGCTGCGGGTGCGCGACCAGCGCGCTCCCGCCGCCCGCGTCGCCATCTTTTCCCCCTCCGTCTGTCTGTCTGCCGTTGGCTTTGTCCGTCTGCAGCGCCGCCCCTCGGCTCCCCGCCACCGGCTTGGCTCGAAGCCGCCCTCCGCCTACCGGGGCTCAGTCCCGGAGAGCCCCGGCCCAGCCAGTCCAGCTGCGGTCCGGGGCCCATTGTCCGGCGGTCCGTCTGTCCGGAGGCGGGGCCCACGGACGCGGAGCGCCGCAGAGCGCCGAGGCGCCGGGTAAAAAGAACCCCGTCTCCTTCCCCTCCTGGGTTAGGCTGAGGATGCAGGGGCTCCTCGCCCTCCCTCTTGTTGTCGGCTGTCGGTCCTTTTGTCTGTGTCTGGGGAGGGGGCTCCGGTTTGCTCTGGCCGGGGGGCGGGGGCAGCCCAGGCGCGGACTCTCGCTCAGCGCCGGGTTCCTGAGACGAGGCCGGACCCGGCTGGCTCCCCACCGGCCGTTCCTCTTTCAGTCCCTCTGGCGGTCTCGGGCGCGGGAGGGGCATTCGCGCCGCCGCCCTCCCGCGGTGGGCCCAGGTCGGGCAGGGCCGGGCACAGCCGGGGCGGCCCCGGCGTCTGACAGGCTGGGGTGGAGCCGGGGGAGGGGGAGGATGGGCGTGGGAGTGCAGACCCGGGTGTCAGTCCCGCGTCGCGGTCTCGCAGAACGGCTTCTAAATTTAGATTTCTGAGAAGACTGTGTCGTCTGAGGGTTTGTCTGAGCCGCCTCGGAAGACCTCTGGCTTTTGTCGATAATTCCTGGGAATCTACCTGTGCTCATACTTGAAGAAGCCAAAAGGACCATCTCGGTACACATGCTCCAGACCAAAGAAAAGTGGGAACAGGGTCAGTGAGGCAGCTACGTGACCGGCTTTCTTGTCCTCTCCCTTTTGGCAGATAAAAATCACTGGGATTCAGGAGAGTTTACTTTGCTCCGTGGGAACTGCACCAGAGCTGGAGGTGGGAGTGCACCCTCTTTTTTTAAAGATTGGATTACCTGTTTTTTTTTTCATGCTGAAGTCTGTGGTGTGTTCTGGAAGCTGCAACCTAACACCTGTGGGAGAGCAGGGATAATGTTAAGGGGAGATGTTGGCCCCCCCCTCCAAAGGACTCATAACCTCGGTCTAAAGACAAAGCTTCCTTCCTTTTTACATAGAATCCCTTGTAAACCTGAATCTCACTGTTTACCTTTCTTCCTGTCCCGTTTTTTCTTCCAGATGGTGATGTTCAGGCGGCTCTCCATTTACATTTTTGTGTTGGTTTTAGATTCGGGTTTGGGAGCTGAGGCAGTGTTAAAAGTAAAACTGAATGCGTGATCTTTAAGGCAATGTGTCTATGAATTTTAGCTTTTACTGCCTATAAAACTGTTGTCTAACTTCTGAGATCTTGCTGTATAGTCAAGAATGCACTTACATTGCTGTTTATGTGTGTATGTACTTTCTTTTTTTTATTTTCTAGAGTCCACGACTCCACGGACTTTCTTTTTTTGAGGGAGGAAGGGGTGTTTTCCTGTTTTTCCCCTTAATCCCTCGGGTGTGAAGTCTCATTGGGTACCATCTGGTCAGTTCCCCATTCGGCCACTAGGAGGATTGTGAAGTAGAGTGGACACTGCCTATTTAAATATGCAGATACTCATCTGTGTTTCTGACTTGTAGCTTTAGTATTGAACTGTTGCCTCACCAAGATGATCTGAATTGAGCCTGTCTCAAGTTATTTGGTCTTCATTTGGAAGGATCGTCGTTACTTTTATCTCACAGTTTCAAATTCTAATCTTGGTGAAGAGAGAAAATTTAAAGATTAGTTAATATTTCATTTTTTCCCTTATATAATAGAGAGGCGTACTTCTGCAAATTTTAGGAAAAAATGATAGACAACCTGCATTTTATTCAACTTTCTACTTTGTGATTCCACAGAGTTGCAGGAAAAGACCCAAAGTGAATATGCCTTCACTGCTTCCATTAATAAAGTAACTACTTGATTAGAAAGAAATGACCTAGGCAAACAAAACAGAACAGGAATACATACTGCCCTCTAACTAGTTAACATTGATTTTTACTGTATGCATTTGGAGTTGGGGTTGTTGGTTGTTTTTTGTTGTTGTTGTTGTTGTTTAATTTAAGGTCTGAAAAAGAACTATGTTTGATATGCAGATATGATAGAAGACTGCCCGAAAGCTGCTTCCTTTGCCACTTCCTGTGGAGGCCTGTCTTTGCCATTTGCGGTTTCTTTCTTCTTTTGGTAAGGGGAGGCAGGATCTGATTACAGGTCTGAGGTCCTTTCTAGCTACACTGAGGAGTTAGTTGGCATAACTGGAGATGAGTCTTCACTAACTGCAGTGCCAAGTGTAGTTAGCGGTGCCTCTCATAAGGCCTTGTAAGGCATTGAACTACTTGTTTATTCAATATAAGTACAGTTTGAAAGTGCAGGAACTGAAAGAAAACTTAGAGGGTGATCAGATCCATATTCTTGTCTTTGGTAGGAAAGACAATCTCTCTTTTTAATCTGTTTATTCACTGTGCTTTCATAGAAAATTTCACAGTTTTCACTACTAATCCATTTCAGACTCTCTAACAACACTTACTGCTGGGAAAGTCTTTCTTAAAAACTAACCAGGAACCTCCAGGCTCAGGTATCTGTTCCCTCCAATTTCAGGGAAGCAGATGCAGGTCTCTGCAGCACTTCTCATTTGGGGAGCTTTTCTCTTTGTTCTTCCCACTGATCTCTTGCTACATAGAGGCTGAATTGAAAGGAGGCACTAAAGTTATTAAATTTGACCGCCACTCCAAAGCATATGAGCAGGGCCAGATTGATGTTCTACACTGGGGTGTTGAATTAGCAACAGTGTGGATGGCATCTGGCTGTTCTGGTGAGAGCTCATCTTCAACATTGGAAGCTTAATTGGTTTTAGTGCCCTGTCATCCACAGTGCTCAACACTGTGCGTACCCCACTAGATAAAGGCTCTATTTTCCATGTTGATGTCATTTATAGATGCCTAAAATTTTGAGACATTTCCTGTCTCACAGGGATGGGATGCTTTGTCACCTCCAGACAAGATAACTTTTGGGAAAAAACGTCTGGAGGCTCCCATTTGTGCAGATTGCAGGGCCTGACTTCCAGTGGGCGTGTAATACGTGAGCTGCCACCCCCTTTTGCTTCCTTTTGCATTCACAGGGGTTATCCCTTTGAGCCTGCAGTGCTTCTGAAGCTGTTTTTTTGCTTCCTTTTCTATCCTCTGATCTTGATCATGATCACTTAATAGTATTCTGGATTCCACAGATAGATTTAGAGTGAAATTCTCTAAATTCTTTGAAGGAGTCTCCTCTTAAACTTCTTGGGATCTTGATGTTGTGCTAGAGATCTATTCATTTCTTTCTTTTTAAAATTCTATTATTTATAACTGGTGAGTTTTATACGCTTAATAACTATTTTTTAAAGTCTTCTTTTATCTTTAATTTTGTCTGTTTCTGGCAGAAATGACATGTGCTAACAATATCCTTTTTATTATAGGTCAGCATCCTACAAGGAGGTAGTAACATATCCAGTTGTGAAACTGGGAAAGGCCAGAGCTCTCGGATCAGGGAAACATGTCCCGTCGGAAACAGACAAATCCGAATAAAGTTCACTGTGAGTACTGGGTTTTGTCTTCTGGAACCTGGGTTCATTAAGGGTTGAAATGAGAGAGTCATCTGAATTTAGGTGAAAGGCTCACACTAGTTCGTGAAGGAAAATAGGGTTAAAGAGTTTGAACAAGATTTTAAAATGTGGTTGCTGGAGGTGTTAGAAATCTGTTTTAGTAGGTGTACTTGATCATATTAACAAACATTTATAGGATATCTGTACAAAGCCTTGTGCTAGACGCCAGGGCTATAAAACAATGTAAGGATATATAAGGCTATAATGTAGCCACAGATACATAAAATAATATCTAAAAACACAAGATAGTCTATGCTGAGTGCCATATAGGGGTGCTGTAGACTGTGTGTACGACAGAAGTTAAGAAGAGGGAGAGAGTTCATGGACTGAGGAAGGAGAGAATGCTTCATGGAAGAGGCCCTAGACTGTGAACTTGAACTGGGCCTTAGAAGGTAGGAAGTGGATTTTTTAAAAAAAGAAGAAGGAAGAGATAAAATCAGTAGGGGAAATCATGTGAGCAAAGATATAAGGGGGAATGCACAGGGGCGCCTGGGTAGCTCAGTGGGCTAAGCGTCTGACTCTTGATTTTGGCTTGGGTTGTGATCTTAGGTCGTGAGATTGAGCCCTACATTGGGCTCCATGCTCAGCTTGGAGTCTGCTTGGAATTCTCTCTCTCTCCCTTGCACTTGTGTTCCCTGTGTCTCTCTTTCTCTAAAATAAATAAATAAAATCTTAAAAAAAAAAAAGGGATGCATATGCTCAGGCGATAAGGAGACTTTGTATGAAGCAGAAGTTTTATTTATCCAGATGTCATAGGACAAAAGATGAGGTTGGAGATGTTAAATTCTATATTGTAGAGGCCTGTAGACCAGTCCAAGTTCATACTATATACCGTGGACTATAGGGAGGTACTGAAGGTTTTCAAGCAGAGCATGTGGATTGACATTTAGAATGTAGTGTTTTAGGGACTATGAAGCAGAATATGGGATGGATCACATGAGAGTAAGACTAGTAACAGGAAAACCAGGTATGGATTATTGCCTTGCATTGTTTCTCACCAGTTTTATATGTATGTTTTATTTCATCAATTAGACTACAGAATTCTAGAGAGAGACTATGTCCTTTTTATATTTCCTGCTATTCCTCTCTACTTCTAGCACTGCTTATAATAGAGGATATTCAAAAGTGTCTCTTTAACAACATAACTATGCAGATTTGATGGAATTAACCAGTTTCCTATGATCTGGGCAGATGAGCATTCTCACCCAAATGTTTGAAAAAGAGCCAGATAGCACCCTATTGTTATGGAGGACTGACTAAATAAGGTACAGCAACATCTGAATAGAATTCAGTGGCATGATTACGACAGGTAAAAACCTGTTCTTGAGGAAAGAACTCTACATATGAGAGAATGCATTAGTCAAGGAGTTTAAGATAAGAGGATTAAAATTTATTACAAACACACCGGATGTCAGGTACTATGTACCATATTGGGTAACTTCGAGGGAGAGAGAGAGAGAGAGAGAGAGAGAGAGAGAGAGAGAGAGAGGAAACAGTGCGAACAGAGGAATTAGGAGGACTTCAGCACTGTACGGGTTAATGAGATTAGGGTGGCAGACCTCCATATACAATAATTCTTCAACTTAAGTCTTGGGAAGGTTTTATAAGAGAACAACTCTGATATTTCTAGGAGTATATTCTGGAATAGATGGCAGTGGAAGTCTGCTTAATACAAAGATGAATGAGTGGTTTAGGCAGGGTTTAGAAATTGCTGCTAAAACAGTGGAAATGTGGTAGGCCTGAATGTGAGGACTGTCAAGAGCAGTATCTCTAGCCTAGGTAATCCAACCCAGAGGTTTAGGAAGATAGTCTTCTCTCTGGTTGAAAATGATTATTAATAAAAGACACAGATGTGACCCCAAGAAGGCAGGGCAGGAAAGGTACTTTTAGTAGAGATGAGGTGTTCACAAATAAGGCAGCCACAGGAGTTGGGCATTTACCTGTAAAAGCACCTGTCCATAAAGACTTGGTTAGATTTAAGGCGAGTAGCTGGTGGAGATGATGGCATGATTGTAATAAGGCCAGGGGAAGCCAGTGAAGGCCCATATGGTCCGTGCATGTGTCCACAGAGCTTACATCTGACCACTGACTCTATTCCCACCATAGCCGAATGCAGGATGAGCTGGCATTAGGTCAGAAAACAGAGGGACACACAGGCCATGGAGAAGAGAGTATCACAGATACACAATGGCAGAAATACCGTTTCCAGAATGAGTGAATAGCGTATTGTGGCAGAGTGGGTGGAACTGTGTGGGCTCTGTGCTGGGGACCATTAGAGGGCTGTGAACAGAAATGTTCACCTGCAACTAAAAAGCAGACCCCCGGGGAAGGGCCGTGATGCATTTGGGTAGGGAACCGGGGAGGCTTCTCAGGTAATGGACTAAGCCTGACTAAAGAAGAAAAGACACTGAGGTTTGCTGGTGTCTCAGGACTTTCTACCTAATGACTATGCGGGGACTGAAGCCAATCCTACCTTTTTCAAAAGGGCATCTTCTCATTGCCCATGACAATAACAGCAAGTAGGAATAGGTAATTTCAGTCTTCTGGCCACTGGAGTCTCCTATTTCCTTGCAGTGAAATGGAACCAGTCGAATGTATTGAATTTAATGCTGCTCATCTATTTAAAGTAAATGGAATGGACTCAAGGTCTGGGAGGTGAGAATGTCTGCACAAGCTTTGCTGAAATGTTAAAGCCAGTCGGCACTTGAGTAGAGTAATGGCTGAGCTCCTTTACATCTGCCTTCTGGGAAGGAGATTGTGTGGCCTGAAGCTCAAAGCCCGCCTCAAAGAATGTATTAAGAATCCCACCGCTGTAGCCTGACAGCATTTGTCAGATCCACCGTAGAAGCCAGTGGGCAGGCTGCGCTGGCAGTTACTCGGCTTTCCTCAGGACTGTCTCTGTATCTAAATTACTGTCATGATTTCTCCTTTCCCCAGAAACATCCAGGCATACTCGTGTATAGTTTGTTCAGTTCATTAACAGATTTGACACAGAGCTTTCTGAATAAAAGCCCAGAATTGTTAGTCTCAGAGAAACTGTGGATGGACTGTTAGACCTTCCTCATCTCACCTCCTTCTGAGTACAAGTTTCTGTCAGCTGTTTCTAGAGAGGTTGAAAATAGAGTCCCTTGTACACTCTCATTTGGTGTGTTTATGCCAAGCAAACCACTAAGAAAAGGAAAACTTTTTTTTTCCTTAAGAAAAACTTTTTCTTCTTCTTTTTTTTTTTTTTAAAGATTTTATTTATTTATTTGACAGACAGAGATCACAAGTAGGCAGAGAGGCAGGCAGAGAGAGAGAGGAGGAAGCAGGCTCCCTGCTGAGCAGAGAGCCCGATGCGGGGCTCGATCCCAGGACCCTGGGACCACAACCTGAGCCGAAGGCAGAGGCTTTAACCCACTGAGCCAGCCACCCAGGCGCCCAAGAAAAACTTTTTCTTAAGACACTTTTGTTTTCAGATTGCAAAGTACAAACAAAACTAAAAACTTTGAACTTCAGTAAAATCTTCTCGGCTTTTACAGACAAGTAGGAAAAAAAGCCTTTAAAGTCCCTTCTTTTCCAAAAAGCACAACTTGTTTTGTCCTTGTTCATTCTGTCAGCATCCTTGTGAGGTAAATGGCTGTGTTCCCAGCATGTGGTAGCACCTTGGGTTTTAGAGACTGTCAGCTGGAATGGAATCCTAAGCTCCTCATTCCCAAGATGAGCTCATTTTTTCTGAATTTGACATCTACTCTCTTAGAATTTTTTTTAGCTGCTTTGCTTCACTTAATTTTAGTCAGCCAGAAATTGCATTTATTTAATTGCACCAAGGACTCAATATAGAGAATTGTAAAATCTTTGCCTTTCTAGTAACTTTCATCCCAGGCTTCTCGTCTGTTCTACAAACTTGCTAGAATGGCCTTGTTCTTGTCTGGTCTGAAAAACCTTAGCCAAATCAAACAGTATTTTGATTTCATACCATCCCCCTCCGCCAAAAAAAAGAGAGAGCTAGCACCTTCATTTTTACTGTAGAGCTTAGACGACTTGTTCTCAGCTATTAATAGACAAATAAATACCCATGTTAAATAAGATGGTTGCCCTACATTAATATCTAGGGACCTGAGGGGTTTTTTTTAACCTACTCCAATAGTCTCAAGATAGAAGGAAATAATAATTCAGCATTATAAAAGCAGGCAATTATGTAACACTTCTTAAGCACCTGTATCTCTATGGATCACATTTGACTTGAGTTATTATGACATACTTTTAGGTATGTAAAAGGTATCACTATCTTTTTATGAAAGGATAATTCTGGAGAGTGGGATTTAGAGCTTAGGTAAATAGTGACTGCTGGAGGATCATTCATGTACCTTCTCCTATGAGATAAGCCAAAATTACTTTTCTAATAATTTTTATATATTTTGCTTTATATTGATAGGAATAGCCCTAAGGAATAAAGTTTCCATTGGCCTTTGTAAGTCAGGAATAGAACCAAATAGAAGAGCACAGTTTTTCTTTCCAAACAGCAAAAAGGAATAACAAAATTAATTTATTCCAACAATCCTAAGTGAGATTGCCAGCAAAAGTCCTAGATAGGGACATCTTCTAGATAGACTCTTCTCTGTCCTATGAAGGCCTAAATATTAGACAACATCAATAGACAAAAATGTTGAGCTCAAGTTTATGGGTCTAAACTGAATTACTAGTTGATCTGGAAAGTCATCCTTTTAGATGCCCTTTTACTAATCCAATGGTAATTACCCTTGGTAATTAAGGAGGGGAAAAAGTATTCTTCATATGTTATAAACCTAGTTTGTTTCCGAGTAGGTTTCTTTAGAGATGAGAAGTGTCACTGATGAGAATGGTCTGCCCCTTGATAATTATCTGCTGTTATATAATATGTCCCTTAGGGCCATTTCTGCCCATAGTTTCCATGTCCGGAAGCATGCATCTATCCAGAAGAATTCAGTAACTAGTCCACTTGGCCATAGTCTTGTCGTTACAGTACAACCACCATGAAGAAAAGTATTTTCCTTCTGCAAAAAGAGTGAGGAGGTGCTATAATAGAATTCACTGTTTGCCTTCTCTAGCAGTAATTTATAACCAGTTTGTGATTGTGATATTTTAAAAATGGACTTAAAGCTGCTTATTTTTCTTTTACTGGAGGGCTTTGTGGCTAGAAGTTCACTTGAACCCTCAACACCTCTACTCCTACTCACAGTATTGATCAGAGTAGCCCCAGCATGGTAACTTACCACAGGGTATCAGAACCATCAAAATGATAGGTCTCTTTGTCAATTACTGGCCCTGAGAATGTTTCTTTGGTATTTGAGGTGTAGCATCAGACTCTTATGGTACAAAGGTAACATTATCACTATGATTAGTACCATTCTTCTCACAGAGATAAGTGTTTTCTTTTTTTTCAGCAAAATCACTCTGATGAACCATCTAACCTCACATCTCTGCTTGAAAGCAGTTTAAAATATGGATTTTAGAGCTGTACAGACCTCGGTTCAAATACTTTGCTTTCCTATAAACCTGAGTTTTCTCTTAAGTAAAGTATGGGTAGGAAGAATACCTAACACATAGAGTTTTGCAGAGAATCTTTAAGATAGAAATTATAAAGCACTTAACATAGAGCCTGGAACTAGAACATGCCAAAAGTAATTATTAGTGTTTAACACTTAGCATATGGGTGCTCACTGAATTTTTGCTGAACAGATGCCTAAAGTGAATCACATGAAGCCTACTTCATGTCAGTTCTTTCATTGCCCAAGGACTTATAGCACAGGTCAACTGACCATTTCTCCTACCTCATTGTATCCTGTCTTGGAATCTGAGCCTGTTTACTTTCCTTTTTCTCCATTAAGAAAGCGCCTGGCCTATTGTCAGACATTTCACTAGGGCTTTTTATTAGTCTCTCTTGGTGGCTGGAGAATGGGGACTGTAGTTTCCACTCTGACTGAGATAATGGAAACCTCGAGAAACCCAATTCTCTTTTCTCCTTCTGCTTGGCCTCTTGGAAATAAAAGAGCACTTAAATGTTAACTCTTCAATAACCACACAGATCCTAGGCAGAGTTCATCGAAAGTAAACGCACAATCAAGGACAGGTCCAGGGCTTTTGGATATTCCATACAAGAAAAGAAAAAAGAAAACAGACCACATTGACCAAGGAAACTGATAAAATATTGTTGCAAATTGGTTGCTGTCTTTCAGGGAGTTTGTTCCTCAGCAAAAATGAGTTCATGTATTACTTGTTCTTTTCATCTACTATTCAGCCAGTTGTTGATTTGCTTGCAGTTAATTCTGATAGACACAGAAGTAGAGTCAAGGAAGAACTTCCAGAGCATGTCTTGGAAAGAAGATGGCTAAAGATGAGATTAGAGAGATTGTTATTGTAAGGGTTAGTTGAAGCACTTGTTTGTAGTCGGAGCTAGACACTGAGCCAGGGCCATAGTGTTAGTATACTAAGAATCAGAGATTGTGCCCAGATTTGTTGCCCTATCTTTATCATCCTCTCACTTTGCCTCTTCTGCCTCTCTCGCCAATCCTGATGGAAGGTTATAAATGGAATTGAGATTCTGAAGTTAAATTTGTAAAGTAGAAATTGATTACCTTTTGAAAGGAGTCAAGATTAGGAGGATTTAAGCAAGTGATGCTTTCTAGAGCATCTGGCTTACTGCCCCGGAAGAGTAGCGGTGCCCAGAACTCCAGGAGGCAGCAAGCTGACTTAGTGATGGATGACCCCACCATGGGGTACCTGCCTGTCTCCTACCTTTGAATGGTCTGACTTTCCAACCAGCTTCCCTGGGGATACATGCTGCCCAGCTGGTGGCCTGACTATTTTTCCTTGTGACCACCAGGGGATCAAGTATTTGCTGGGCTAGAAGAGCAAGCCCGCCAGGCGATGATGAAAACTGATTTTCCTGGAGACCTTGGCAGTCAGCGACAAGCTATCCAACAACTAAGAGATCAGGACTCCAGTAGCAGTGAGTTCTGCACCTTCTGGTAATGACTCAGGGCAATGGGAGAAGAATTATCAGAGTGTGTGTGCTCTGGGGATTGTGCATGGGGGTTGGGAGGAAGATATGAAGAAGAAGATTTGTGGATCCTCAGTGTTCCCAAAGATGTTGCTAAGGTGTATGAGCATATGCTTGTCCAGAGAGAGGACAGGTTTGGTATTATATATTTTTTTTAACTCATGGACTGCTTACTTGGTGCAGTACCATACAGAGATAGGTTTGTGATGACTGTGATAGACAGGGGCATAGGGATTATTAGTGCTCAACCTGTCCCTGAGTTAGGTCAATTGAAAAGAATCTGTCTCCTAGAATCTATTTACTCATAATTAACAAAATGTAAGAGTGGCATTAATGAAATTTTTGCTTGAGATTTCATTATAACGTTATATAAGAGGATTTCCTTGCTAATGAGAGTATGCATCATATAAAGTGCTGAAGTCAAAGTCAGAGCACCTGGCTGGCTCGGTAGAACAGGCAGCTCTTCATCTTGGAGCTGTGAGTTTGAGCCCCACCGTGGGTGCAGAGATGACTTAAAAAAAATTTTTTTTTAATGGAATTTTTAAAAAGGAGTAAAATGTTAAAGTCAAGGTCTTCCCACACCAAGTCCTAAGTAAATCCCTGGAAAGAGATGGAAAGACAGTGGCTGGTAACTAGCTGAGCCTCACAGGTCATCTGTTCCGTGAGCTGCCTGAACAAACACATTTCCTAGAATGATCTCCTTACTTTACTAATCACATCCATCTGATACTGGTTGGTATTACTGTCAATTCAGACTGACATTTTTAAATTTTTCTCCACATTTGGGATTGAAGAATAAAGAAGGAAAGAATTCAGCACCTTCTAGGAACTACAGTTTCCACTCTAAGTAATAACTTAGCAACAAAAAAACTAATAATTTAGCATCTAATAGCAAAGAAAAATGAACCAAAGATTTCTAGAAAACCTGTGGGAGCTACCAGTTTGAGTAACAGGATAGGAATGGCAACATCTATAAAGTCTAATAGGCTTCCATTCTGGAAAAGCTGCATCATCCCTCTAGATGGCATACTTATTTTGTAAAAATCATTTTAGTAGAGAGATATGTTTGGATTTTTTCATCACTCATGTAATGTGTCTGATACAATGTTGTCTTAGACTAAGTTTACAAATATTCCAAATAAACTGGTGAGAAAATATGGTATGATTTAGTCTGTTCCAGTCCTTCATTATTTAAATGAATTGAGATGAAAGCTTTGGGCTAGGGAATAAGGCATACAGGGCCCAAATCCAGTCCCCCAAACAAGTAGAATATCTAATAGAGACATATGTAACTACTAGCAGATGATTTGGTTAGATTTTCTTATGAAGAAAAGGAATGTAATCAGTTTTGCCCAGATGCTGTTGGATTTCAGAATTACACAAGGTAGTAGTAGAGAGAAGATAAGAAACACTGTTAGCTGGGAAAGCTGAGTCTCACAGGTGAAAGTCTACCTTGTATTTCTCTTGCTCATAGTCAGGCCCAGGAATCCAGGATCTTAGTGTGGTTGGGTTGGGGCTGGAGTCTCACAGCGTACCTAGACTTGGCTTCTTCTTGTGATCTTCAAGGTACTAGCACTTCTTTTTTTCCCTTTTAGAAATTCCCTTTTTTATTGTGTGTGTGGTTTTTTTTTTTTAATGTTTCTCCTACCATTTTATAAGGAATAGGGGAAAACATCAGCCCATAAAAACCTTGCAGATTCCCCCAGTCACAGGCAGACCACTCCCCCATAGCCACATCCTACCCCCTAAATGAAAACAAACTCAGTTCTTACTTTAGTCACAAGAAAGTATATTTCATCCTAAAGAATGGCCTGTTACCTTCACTTAATACAGTCAGTTATCTGTCAGATAATCCAGAGAACCAACAGAAACAATGGATTTATTTAGCCTAGAATTCTGAGTTACTAGCAGAGTAAGAACACCCTGAGTCAGGTAGCATAACAAATGGCCTAAGGTTGGTTGCTGTGCTCTTTTTTCCACTGGACTGAACAAACCTTTCCCTATAAGGTGACATTACTACTACCTCCTTTCTTGAAAAGAGGAAGAAAAAAAATAGTTGGTTTTTCTCCTTAGGGTTTGTTGGGAGAGAAAGGATTAGTGGGACTCAGAATAGAATAGTACATGTGATGCCATTGGAAAAACTGTACAGAGGGGTTATGGAGAAAAGTAAGTAATAGAATCAGTGAGAAGTGTGGGTAAGGCAGAGTTCGTGTGCTGTGGGAATGAGCATGGTGTGAGGTGCGTGGGAGGTGTGATTTCAAGTATGAGAGGTTTGGGAATCGTGTAAGAATTATTTTTAGGATAACGTACAGGGCCCAGTAACTGTTGTCTAATGCAATTTTGCCTGAGATTTTCTCTTTAATGTAAATGGCATTATAAGCAATAGCTATAGCTCTTCTACCAACATGATTTGTACCCAACTATACCAACTGTACATTGATACAAACTCCATTGTGGAAGACTTGAATATGTTTTCCATTATAGCTACAAACTCTAAGATGGAAAGCAACTCAAGATGTATTCATGCAAAAATCAGAACAAGTGACCAATTTGTATGTTCCAGGTGACAGTGAGGGTGATGAAGAGGAGACCACACAAGATGAAGTTTCTTCCCACACATCAGAGGAAGATGGAGGGGTGGTCAAAGTGGAAAAAGAGTTAGAAAATACGGAACAGCCTGTTGGTGGGAATGAAGTGGCAGAGCACGAGGCAAGTGACAACAGCTCCCGAATTCAGGACCCCCAACCCTTCTACTTGGCTCTGATGTGCTTGATTCACAGTAATGATCTTGCCTCTGGTGGTCTCCTAGGCCCTCATGTGAAGAGTTTCTTCCTTCACAGCTCCATTTACCCAAACCCCACACACAGCTCTCATCACACCAGCTTTCCTATCCTTCCACATATCACTAACCCAGGTAAAGCTTCTCTGCTTCTTTCCAGACAGAATATCCACTTTTACAAGACTATCAGCCGACTTCTGAAGTGTACTCTTAAATATGCTTGCAAATCTAAGTCAGAGTGTTACCTGAGGTGCCAACTTCTCTCTAATGTGTTTCCTGAGGATTCCTGCAAGAAGCACAGCAGGAGGAAAGCTAATCTTCTCTCTGCAGAGTTTACTGTGGGGAGTGGGGGATAGATCAGCTCTCTTAGGGCCGCCCTGTGTCCTCAGGGCAGGAAGCCTTGGGGAAAATAAAGATAGGAGTAAATGTGATTCCCGTTCCCTATTACTTTTCCCTTCAGTCCATAATGGGAACCTAAGAATAACTTGTGATATCAGGTTGTGTTCCTTTTAACAGGACACCCTGTTGAAAGAAGTAAGGGCAGGGCAAAGAGTGGTAAACAGTCTTAATGAATTGCCTACTTGTTGAATTGCAGGTCACAGGGAACTTGAATTCTGACCCCTTACTTGGACTTTGCCAGTGTCCCCTCTGCCAGCTAGACTGTGGGAGTCGGGAGCAGCTGATTGCTCATGTGTACCAGGTATGGGCTGGGGAGCCACGTGCTCCAGAACACGAGTGCCAGCACCTTGTTTAGCCTTTGCCTCCACCTCCCAGGGGAACCTTGGGTTGTTGCTTCCAGTAAGACTCCACTCTAGTCCCCAGAATGTTTTAAAGAATAAGTGGAATGTGTTGGGTAAACCTGTTCTGGGTTCCCAGACAGACACACTCTGAAAATTAAATATATTTTTTCCAAATTATTTAATGCACTTTTGTTTATTTATGTATTGATTAGGGGTGGGTGGAGTAGGGGCAGAGGGGGAGAGAGAATCCTAAGCAGGCTCCACACCCAGCATGGAGCCCAGTGCAGGGTGCAGGGTTTGATCTCACAACCCTGAGATCGTGACCTGAGCCGCAATCAAGAGTCAGACCCTTAACCCACTGAGCCACCCAGGTGCTTCAATGCATATTTTAAATAGTGAAATAGAAACTAACATCTGTTAATAATGAGGCCTTGTTTTAAAGAAGAAAAAATGAGTTAACATAAATGTTTCTATAATACTAGAAAAAGTGTAAATGAGGGGATCAGAAGAACACAAGCTTTTCGTGCTCTTTTCTTCTCTGATCCAGTCGCAGAGCACCTTTGCCTTGTGATCTGTATTAGAAAGGCGTTAGCACACATGGCAGCCTGGGTTTTACATAGTTGGTTCATGAAGGGAGGGCTTTCTATAGAAGATTGTTTTTCAGAGGATTTAAGAAAAGGCAGGACAAAATGCTTTTGGATACCAGTCTTCCTAGCCAGCTTCTACACTTGGCTTTCATTGCTCCCTTAATATGCACCTGTACCTGCACAGTGTGAGGCTACAGACAGAAATTATCCCAACCGTGAATTCTTTGCAGGTTTTGAAAAGGGCTCTGGCTCTGGAGCTCTGTTGTTTACAAGCCAGCCACATGTTCCAGAATATAGTCAAAACTGTAATGAAATCTGAACAATAATCAGATTGGCCTGGCCCTTCTAAAGGGCCGTTAACAGAAGAGACTCTTACTTTTCCAGGTGCTAAGCAGGGAGAATTATTGCAAATCCCTGTTCTGAGACTAAGGAAAAGGGACATTTCCCAGAGAGCAGTTTCTAAGTGGGTGTAGATTACTTTAAAAGAAGCCTGAGCTGACAGATGAAGGCTCTGTTTTACAGCACACTGCGGCAGTGGTAAGCGCCAAGAGCTACATGTGTCCTGTCTGTGGCCGGGCCCTAAGCTCCCCGGGGTCCTTGGGTCGTCATCTCCTAATCCACTCGGAGGACCAGAGGTCTAACTGTGCTGTGTGTGGAGCCCGTTTTACCAGCCATGCCACGTTTAACAGGTTAGCTGGTCACCTAACCCTCTTGCTCTGGGAACAAATTATTGGGTGTGGGTTCCGCTTTCCCAAATCAAAAGAAAGGCTAGAGATCGGTAATGCAAAGGTGACTGACTCTGGAAATACAAGTAATGAAGCCAATAAATATATCCATTCCATTAGATATCCCCAAAGGGAAATGAATTCTCATTTCTTTCCCTATTAGAGTAATATTTTCATCTACAAAGATATTGGGGGGGCAGTCCAATAACATTCATGATAAAGCTTAGAGAAGTTACAGGGAGCTAAAAGGCCCCTGATGTGAGGACACAGTCTGTACTGTGTCCCAGGGAGGCTGGAACTGTGAATTGTGTCCTAGTTAAATTTGCCTAGGATACAATGCAGAGTCGGCCAGGGCAGGAGGGGTTGGGCCAGTGGACTCCCCTAAAGGCAGCCTCTACTTTAAGAGGGACCACCATTTCCACAGTAGGACTGCCCTGCACAGCTCTTAGAAACACCACCAGCCAGCTGGAATGAACCCTGCACATTTGTGGGGGATATCTGGCAGGTGGCTCAGTCTCTAACTCCGGGAGGGCTTTAAAACTTGGTAGACCACCCAAGCCCAGAGAAGGTATGAGGTGGGGGAGGTCAGAGGTCTCCCAAGTACTCAAATCTGACCCCTAGTGGTGAACTTGGAGCAACTGGCCTAGTAGGACAAGCGTTAAGTCAGAGCTGTATACCTGAGCCTTGCTAGGAGACCCTAACAACCCCAATTTTTGTATTCCAGTGAGAAACTCCCTGAAGTACTTAATATGGAATCCCTACCCCCAGCCCATAGTGAGGGTCCCTCCAGCGCTGAGGGAAAGGACATTGCCTTTAGCCCTCCCGTGTACCCTGCTGGAATTCTGCTTGTGTGCAACAATTGTGCTGCCTACCGGAAGCTACTGGAAGCACAGACCCCCAGCGTTCGCAAGTGGGCCCTACGCCGACAGAATGAGCCGTTGGAAGTACGGCTGCAGCGTCTGGAACGAGAGCGCACAGCCAAGAAAAGTCGGCGGGACAATGAGACCCCAGAGGAGCGGGAAGTAAGGCGCATGAGGGACCGCGAAGCCAAACGCCTGCAGCGCATGCAGGAGACAGACGAGCAGCGGGCGCGCCGGCTGCAGCGGGATCGGGAGGCTATGAGGCTGAAGCGGGCCAATGAAACCCCAGAGAAGAGGCAGGCCCGCCTCATCCGGGAGCGGGAAGCCAAGCGGCTCAAGAGGAGGCTGGAGAAAATGGACATGATGTTGCGAGCTCAGTTTGGCCAGGACCCTTCTGCCATGGCAGCCTTAGCAGCCGAAATGAACTTCTTCCAGCTACCTGTGAGTGGGGTGGAGTTGGACAGCCAGCTCCTGGGCAAGATGGCCTTTGAAGAGCAGAACAGTGGGTCTCTGCACTGAACCTGCCTGCCCTCCTGCTCACCCAGGTCCACAGGGATCTGTGCTGCAGCCAACTCACAAGGCCTTGTCCTTACTGCCAGAGGAAGGCCTGGGTTTGCTGCAGGTGGACCTAAAGCACCTCTTGCATGTGGGAGCAGGATGATGGGGTCAGCAGGGAGCCAGATTAAGGCAGCTCTGGACGAGGGAGTAGGCACTCCAGGGAACTGGACTCCCAGCCCACTGCTGCAGGGCATGCTTATAGGACTATGGGGCCCAGTGCGGCCCACGGAGTTGTGAGGGCAAATAAATTAATTTTATCTTTACTGGCCTTTTCTGCTTTTCTCTCCATTTCATTCTAGCAAATGAAGTGATCTAGGAGAGCCCTGGGTGGAAATTTTAGGCAGGGACTTCTGGCAGATTGTCTTCTGAAGGGAGGGTGCTCCTCATTTTAGGCAGCCCAGAGATCCCTTGTTTGGGCCTTTACAGGTCAGTGAGGCATAACTATGACATTAAAGAAAGGACCGATGCTAACTTTGTGGGTCCATTCCCACAACCCTAATGAAGATAATCTATGGTCCCAAATGCCATTTAAACCTAGCTTACCTTTTCCAAACTCAGAAGCAGACGCCTTTCCTCCTAGCTGGCATTTTCTAAAGAGATGCAATATTCAGGCTAGGTATTGGCTACTTTTCCCAGCAGATTTCAGTTTGTCAAACTTTAAAAACTCTATCATAGATAGTAGTCACCTTCATTTAGGAATATGTTCATAGAAACAGCTCTAATACTAAGGTCTATAGTACCGAGGAGCTCTCGTTTGAGAGAAGAGATGATCCATCTTTTTATTTATACCCCAGAGCCAAGATAGGATAACACCCATTGAGAAAAATCCAGAATTAAGGTGAGACGAGAGCTCAAGTTGACAGTGGTCAAAGCCAGAGCAAAATGACAGTTTGTATGTCTGCCAAACCAAGGAGGAGACAAGAGCTGAGGTCATTTCTAAAAAGTGTCTGTGATGGTACAGAACAAGTACAGAACTTTCCTTAGCCTGCACCAAAGATTGTGTACAGTTTAGATAATTATAGATCTCAAGGTCCAGAAGGAAGTGCCCTAGTTAACTTGTAGCCAGAAAAATAACTATGCCAGGAATGTGGACCTCTTCCAATATCATAACAAGGAAACTTGGACTCCTCTCTGACCTCCATAGGTTTAAGGCTATTTAATAGTGTTAACTGACCCCCTTCCCACCACTGAGCTACGGTTAATTCCTAACAGGCAGGCTGAAAGATTTCTGTTTTGGGAAAACAAAAATTTTCATAAGCTTATTCAAAAGTACTGGACATTTGAAAGAAAGTACTTAATTGAGTCAAATGTCTGTCTGTCACAGAGCTCCATACTGAAGTCCTACTCGGGATGCCTCAAAATGGTTGAGCACTCTCTATGCGTTAAAGATTATTCTGAGCACATTACATGGATTATCTCCTTTAATCTTCCCAGCAAACTAGGAGTTAATACAAACTCAGGAGCCCAATGCCTGGATTTAAAAAGCTGCACTGTCATTTAAAAACTAAGTTTGGGCAAGTTACTTAACCTCTGTCTTGGTTTCCCCAAACACAAAATGGAAATAATAGTATGAGCAACAAATGACTATCAATCTATAATATATATAAATATATTAATATGATATAGTTATTAATATATGTAACTTAGGACGGTTTGTGGCACCTGGTAGGTACTCAATGAATGTATCTGAGTCACACTCCTGTATCTGAGTGTTTCACCTCTTACTACTGGCAAGCTTTCTAGTTTAGAAGCAGTAGTTTAGGAACGCCTGGGTGGCTCAGTTGGCCTTTGGCTCAGGTCATGATCCCAGGGTCCTGGGATTGACCCCTGCATCAGGCTCCCTGCCCAGCGGGAAGCCTGCTTCTCCCCTCTCCCACTCACCCTGCTTGTGTTCCCTCTCTCGTTCTCTCTCTCTGTCAAATAAATATTTTTTTTAAAAAAAGTTAAAAAAAAAAAAAAGCAGTAGCTATGATTGCAGCTGATGTATTCCAACAATTTTTGGCAGCATTCCTGAGGAAAGAAAAGAATTGGAGAAAAGGCCAGCAGTGAGGACATCTACAAGCCCTTGTGATTGATTGTACTAGTATCTAAGTCTATAGGTAGACTTCCGGGTCACTGAAAGACACACCAACAGAATGTGCAGATCTGGTCAGAGCCCACCACATAAAGATGGGCACTATTAGCCATTACAAGCTCTCCCATGAAGGGCTTCTATCCCCCACCCAACAGCCACTGTCTGAGGCTGGGATAAGAAGAAGGCGCAAACACCAAAAGGAAAAGCTAGTAGTTTATATAGATAGATATATAGATATATAGATATTGATATATATTGTGTTTACATAGTCCACAAGTTAAATGCAGGTATCCATAAGAAGAGCATTAACAATAAAAATACAATCTGTGTGTAGCCAAGTACAGAGACTTAAAATGGTAAAACAGCAAAAAGGATCTCACAAAAGTACAAATATACAGTACAAATTGATTTATTTAAAACAGTTACAAAAAAGCACAACAAAATAGAGATTATCCTTAGAATTATTAATGCTTTGTTAAAGATCAGGTAGGATTAGAGGGTAAGAAATGGTACTGGGTGGGGGGAGCACCTGACTAGTTCTAAGGCTTTAGATACAATGCAGTTGATTACATATTAATTCAGCCATTACATACTGGGGATAGTAGTTGGGGGATCAGTAATTTATCTACAGGGAACTCCTACACAAATCAGATCCATCCAGACCTCCCCAGTGCAGTCCTTCTTTACTCCTCAGGACCCTAAAGCCACCCGATGACAACGTTCCCACTTTCCTTTCTCCACCCCATTCCCTATCCATATATTCTTCCCTCCCCTAAGGTGCTGTGCAAGCTGAGAGCAGTCTGCTCTCTGCAGCTGGAACATATACTGTTTTGGCTACAGGGATCCTGTGTGTGACTAGGAAGGTTGTAGGGGACAGCCTTATTTTAATACTTCAAGTTTGCCACGGGTACAGTCCGTCTCTTCCCAGCACAATCGATATTCTTTCGAGTGTGAGTATCAAGCAAATGAGGGATGAACCCTGCCTTCAGCAATACCAGCAACGCACGAACCACTCACAGCTCACAACTACGTGCAAACTCCCCGTCTGGGGAGCGCATAAAACCACGGTTTCCCCAGCTCACTCTGAAGAACCTCAGTCCCCGTGACAGTCATGAAGACAGAAACAAATGCTTGCAAGTTTGACAATAGGTAAAGGCACATGGGCTGCTGTCATACACACTGCAGACAGGAACCCAATTTGAGGCCATCTTCACTGCTGGGCATTTGCAGTAGAATGGCTTTGGGATCACAGACTTTGAGTTTGCAACCTACCGGGGGAGGATTTAGGCTTAACAGAAGAACTAATAAAGAAACCTTAGTGTGAAAAGTGCATTTATTACTACTGTTCCTGCTGGGGAGGCTCAGCAGGGCAAACCGCACCACCTCTCCTCCTTCCACCCCAGGCACTGTGCATAGTCTGCAGGTAAGGAGAGAGTGCAGTCGACTCTAGCATCTCGAGGGCCAGCGTCATCCGAGGCCCAGATCAGGTTTCTGGCCCAAAGATGGACCCTAGAGTTGAAAGAGCAACTGATAGCTGCAAAGACCCAGATGCTTATTTTATTATTGCATAATGTGGGAAGCCCTCCCAAGCCCAGGGAAGCTGGACGGTGAAGGCTTCCCAGCAAAGGGCTAATAGGTTCCTGGTCAACATCCAACCTTGCACAGTCCAGCTCTTCAACTGTAGTGTACACTTCTTCCCATCTGGAAAGTATTGTAGCTTCGGTGTGGTTTAGTAAACTTAGCCCTAGGAGGCCAGCAGTCTCCCTAAACCTTGGCCTCTACCCAATTTACTTGCTCTTAAGACTGTGACCTCATCTCCATGGCCAGTTCAGTTAATCAGGTATCTTTACTCCAAAGGACCCAGGCCCTCTCCCAGTCAGCTCATGTCCACCCTTCATCTCCAGTGTGATCATTCAACTCTCCAATGTGCCTGCGTGTTGCAGGGTTAAATCATACCACCACCCTGTTTCTCTCCTATGACGTCCACTGGTAAAAATAAAACTAAACCCCACCAAGGGGCTATTTCGGTCAAACTTCAAACCCTCTTCAGTCCCAGAATCCACGTAACTGGAGCCAGATGACCCTCACCCTACCATGCTGACAAAGGCCCTAGCCTGGTTCCCCGCCATTTATTTTTAAAAACAGGATTTAAGATACCACAAAGGAAAGCAGTTAATACATAGAAAACGTCCACTAATAAGACCTGTTTGCTTCTCCCTCAAGACAGTCAGGTGTTTGGAGCCTAAGGACTCCCGACAAGCACTGAAGCCACATCCCTTTGGATTCACCAGCCCACCAGCAGCATTTCATACTCTCCATATTCAATATGACTTTGCTATAAAGTAACACTTGCACAGTTAAGAATGAACAGGAAGCCTGGATTTCCTCTATATGGCCAGACATGGAAGGAGAGGGAGCTATAAAAGGTAGCAGGCAGGACAGTGAGCAGACAGCAGCAGTGGCAAAGCAGCACAAGAGCAAAGCCCTTGGTGTTATGACCAACTGGGACCAAGACTGTAGAAGGGTCAGTCCAGATCTGCTAGGGCCCCTCCCACTGGATGTAAGTATTCAGCTCTGAATTCCCTTCCCCCATGCCACCACCCTCCATGCCTCCCCCCAACCATGTGCACCATGTACATCTTGATAGGAACAATGACCCAAGACTTGGATGTATTACCCATCCTTTACGTGATCTCTACTCCCCAAGTGATACAGGCATTCCTGGTCAGTGCGGGAATTTCTCTTTCTCTTCCTCAATTCTGGGAATTTCCTACCACTGACAAGGGAGTGGCTCTGGCCTTCTTCAAATGCCCATTTCCCAAAAAGCTGACAGCTTCCCACTAAAATGTTCACTATCTCAAAACCACTCTTAGGTCTCTTGCCAACTTATGAAATTCCTTAAGGAAGAACAGACCACCACAGGCTCCTCTTAGTTCTCATACCTGGAAGAAAAGACTGAACCGGAGGGAAAAGATAAGCGGAATGCCACAGCTCTGACCAAGATTTAGAGCACAGAGCTTCTTTTCCTGGGAGCCCATACTTTACAAAAGACACCTCTATAGCTTAGCAAATCGAGTATTAAGATGTTACATACACATGGCATGGTACTAGAAGAGTTGGTGATACTCCTTCACTGGCAAGAGACAGAAGGGGAACAGCAGCAGAAAGGTCAGGGCCCAACTTGCCAATGTGCA